GCCCTGGTCCAGGCCCCGCCCACCATCAGCAGAGGCTGAATCAGCAGGGTCCTTCCCCACCCACCAGAGTCGTTGTAATGGCCATGTAAGGGCAGGGTGACTACAGGTCAGCTGACAGTGGGTAAACTGGGCCTTCAGTGTCAGGGTTCAGCCCTCCCTGGCACCAGCTGAGGCCAGCGTAGACACGCCCCTGGCCAGCGCCTGTGGCCAGTGTAGACATGCCCCTGGCTGGTGCCCGTGGCAGTACCTGGGCTTTCTGGGCGACGTCCAGCACCAGCTGGAACTTCTCAGACACAGTCAAGTCTTCCTTTGGAGGTTCCTTCAGTCAAAGGGGAAAGAGAATTTTCCACTGAAATTTAGCAGTTCAGAGAAATGACTGACAGCACAGTAGGGCGCCCTCCCAGCCCCAGGGACTCTGCTGTCCCCACACAGCTCAGAGGGATGGTACGTCCCTTGGGGACCTGGTACCAGGAGGACACCCCTCTGGGCTGAGGGTGAAATCTCATCCTGTGTCCCTGACTTCAGGCACCCAACAGGAGCTGGGCAGAGCTGCCCCTGCAGTGGCTGAGCAGATTCTCCGACTCAGAGTTCACCTTCACAGCTGCCCTCCCTCACTTACAGGCAAGGAAACTGAGGCCCAGCCAATGGGAGTCCTGGTCCTGCTTGTCTCCCATTCATTAAGAGCCTCCCGAGGTTTCCTGGGTCCCAGCACTGGGCGGGCAATGGCCTGCCTCCTCCAGGCGCTTCCCCTGACCCCTTGTGCTCCACGCAAGAGACGGGCACTGAGATGTCCGACTAAGGGAGGCGTCGAGGCCTCCCTCCTGCCCATGTCGGGTGGTCCTGCCCCATGGGCCACGGTCTCCCTCTAGAGCAAACTTCTGTAAAGGGCCAGGTAGTGAATATTTTTGGCTTCCAGAGCCATGTGGTCTGTCAGCTACTCAACGGTAGTGCCAAAGCAGATGCAACAATGCGTAAATGAATGGGCGTGTCTATGTGCCAATAAAACTTTATTTACAAAGTCAGGCAGTGGGCCAGAGGTGGGTTTTTTGTTGTTGTTTTGTTTTTTTGAGACAGAGTCTTGCTCTGTTGCCTAGACTGGAGTGCAGGGGCGGGATCTCGGCTCACCGCAGCCTCCAAGAGGTGGACTCTTGAGTCTCAGATGTGACCAGGTCCACTTGTCCAGCTTATTGCTCACCACCCTACCTGGGGGGGATGTGGGGGCCACAGCGGCCCCTTGATGTCCCCCACCCTGCCATATCACATCCTTGCTGGGAAGCCTCAGCTAGGACAGGCCAGGGCCAGGCAATCTGCTCCTTGCACAGCAAACCTGGCCTAGTAAGGGGGCCGGGCTGCAGACTCCCTGGGCTCGGGGCTAGGCAGGGGCTGGCCTCCTTCCCTCCTCTTTGGGCCAGGGCAGGGCTCCCAAGAATGCCACACAGCCTCCTCCAGAGGCTTCCTGGAGCGGCGCCCACAGGCTGTGAGGCCTGATGTGATGGACACAGTCAAGAGACCCTGCGCCCTCCAGCGACCTACCACGGGCTCAGACACTTCCGGCACGATGCTCCACTGTATCCGCCAGCCCCTGGCGAACAGAAAACACACATACCTTTAAAACAGCGCCACCCAAGGCAGGGAATGGCATCAAATCTCCAGCCCTGCATGCCCAGCTGGGCTTGGAGGGAGTCCTTCTTTGCCTTTCTACGCTGCCCAATGGGGAGAAAAAGGCCCCTTGAAGCCCCCTGCTGTGAGGGCAGACAACTCCTGTCACCCCCAGCAGCCCCTTCCCTGGGGCCCTTCTGGCCACAGGGGACACACTGAAAAGTGGCCAGAGGTGTGGGGAGGGCAGCCCTTCAGCATCAGCCAGCTGGGGTGGCATCAGCAAGCGTCCGAGCTCATCCTGCCCAGTTCTGGATACCAACGACCGCTTCCAGAGTATTTAAGTGATTTCTACAAAAACATTTTCAAATGAGCCAACTGGGGCAGGCACAGAAAACCATCTAGAAACATGGTGCATAGAAGTGCAAACTTTTGAATGGCCAAGTCCAAGTAGAGAATCCCAGCTCCCCCCTCAGCCCTTGTGCAAGGCTGAGCTTCACTCCTGGGGGTAACCGCAGGCTAAGACAGGCCCAGCCATGCCAGGACTGGGGTCTGTCCCAGGCTGTGGGCTTCCAGAGCCCCCCTCAGCCTCCACAGGAAGAGGGTACTCAGAGGGGGTACAAGGAGTGACACAAGGGCCTGACTCAGGCCAGGGTTGACGTGTCGGTCACATGGGTGTGCTGTCTGCAGGAGGCTGAAACTCGTTCCCAGTCCAGCCTTCTAGCGGGTTGAGCTCTGCTGGCTTCACCCCCCCCACCCCCCGCCACTGAGGCCAAGGAGAAGTCCCTGTGACGTTCGGCGAGGTGCCGAACGGCCGTGCACTGGCTATGCTGGCTGCCCCAGGAAGGGGCTGCTGGGGGATCTGGGAACTTCCCACTACCATCTCTAGCAAACCAGGGAGGGGGCAGCCGCCCTGTCTGGGGGTCTCTGGAGGTTGTCAGGGGACCACCCCCGAAACATCCGTGCATGACATACCCAGCTGGGGTTACAGCTGTGTGAGATACAGGGAGACAGCACAGCCACACACAGGGTGGGAGAGTGGCCGGGGCAAACCGGCCCACCTACCTGGCGATGAGGTAATTGAGGGATAACCTCAGAATTGCTAGAAATAGGAACAATGGGATGGCCCAGCCGTGCCACACGGCATTCATGTACACCTGCGGGTGAGAGACGGGCGTCAGGCCCCCGACAGTGTGGTTCAGGATGAGGCGCATCCCTCCCACCTCCCCCAACCAGGCAGCCCCAGCGGGCAGACCAGGCCAACCTCCGGCTCTCCAGACACTCAGAGGGCCCGTCTGACGGGAAAGGTGGAGGAAGGGCTGCTTTCCTGGTTTAAGAGCAACAGGTGGAAGCGAGGTGTCACTCAGGGAGGTGGGAGGATAGAGAAGCATGTCCTGGGGTCAGAGGGCGGCAGCAAGTTCCACATGGGGGTCCCGCCTGCCCCGGGTGTGGCTCCCAGGCACCAGACTTGGGGCATCACCAGGACTCAGCCTGGCAGGGTGAGATGGCCAAGCACCGGCTGAGGACGAGCCAGGTCCATGCCTGGGGCCACCTTCAAGCCAGACACCATCTGTGCCCAGCATGGAGCCCGGGACATGGAGCAGAGGAGCAGACAGGGCAGGGCTGGAGGTGGGGCCTGAGGGCAGCGCCGGTCTGGGGCTCATCTCTTAGTGAAAAAGACGCGGCACAGGGGCCTCTGGGGCCCAGGTGGCAATGGCCTCCCATAGCAAAGCATCTGTGAGGGGTGGCGGGAGAAGAGGCCTTCCAGGGCCAGGGTGCAGCCGCTGCCCCAGCACCCATCCTTCATCTGTGAGTGTACAAAGTGCCCATGTCCCAGGTGGGCGGTAAGTGCCTGGGGCAGGCACAGGGCCACAGGCTTCAGGGACTTTCTGGAGAGCCTGACCCAGGCTGAGGCCATGTGGGGACCTCTCCCAAGGGGCCCACTTGGCAGGACAGAGCTGCCTTTGGGAGCACTGGATGGTGCCAAGCTGTGGACACCCCCTCTTTGGCCTGGAGGACCCAGCAACCAAGTGGGGAGCCTGTATCTTCCTCGTGCTGGAGGCATAGCCTCCACCCCAGGTCAGAGGGCTCCCCGGGAGGACCAAGTCTTGAGACACAGGTGGTGCGTCTCCTGTCCCACAGGGCAGTTCCAGGCATGGCGGCTGGCTCCCTTTCCCCAGGGCCCCAGCAATGCTGGCCCTGACGTCCTCCAATCCCTCAGGACTCATGGCGCACAGAGGCCGGGCTGGGTCCCCTTGTGCTGCCCTGCCCTTATCCGGTGCCCTGGGCCCAGGATCAAGTTCTCTGTGGCCCTCAGCAGCGCGGCCACCACACCACAGGGTGAGTGCCAAGAGGCCTTTCCCGAGGGGACTCTGGGGTCGGGGCCCTGCAGGCTAGTCCCAGGCCACGCCCCACATCTCTGGTCCTTGAAGCCACCCCCAGCTGGGCATTGGCATCACTGAACCCATTTTACAGCAGGAGAAATGAGCATGTCCCTGGGGCCTGGGGAAGCACCATGGGGGCTACCTCCCATCCCGGGACAGTGCCTGATCACGTGGCGAAGGCTGGCAGCACGTCTCCACCCACCCCACCCAGCCCCTGGAGGACCCACTCACGGTGAAGGCGATGGCAGACGTGTAGACGGAGTACCAGTCGGATAAGGCAGAGAGGTTCTTCACAAAGTTAGTGACAGGCTTGGCACCGCGCTCTGGGGACAGAGCAGACCGCAGTGGTCAGCACTGAGAGCAGGAGCCCCTAACAACATCTCCCAGGAGAGTCGGCTCGGCTCAGAATCCCAGAGTCCCCACTGCCAGGGCCCCCCAACACCGAGCAGCGTGGGCGCCATGCAGAGCTCTGGTACTCACTGAGACGCCTCATGTTTTCAGTCAACCTAAAAGAGAAGAGGAGATGGGAGCCAGGGTTAGCGCACCTACCGGCCCTGCGGTCCCCACTGCCCAGTTCCGCTGGCTCTGCAGGGGGCAGGGAGGATGTCTCAAGAGCCTGGGACCCCCTGAGCACACAGAACGGCCACGCACAGCGGCTCAGCACAGCAGGGTGTGCCAGGATGGCTCTCAGTGCCACGCCCTAAGCTGGCACTGGAAGGCAGGGGCAACTCGCCAATGAAATTGTCCCCTCGTCTCCCACCCAAGTCCCCAGAAGAGAAGACCTCAAGAGCAGGGCCTTTGCTAGCCTGGCTCCCCTGGGACCCCCAGGGCCTCTGAGTGCCTGGCAGGGGAGCCAAGGTTTACTGATCAGGCTCATGAGCCAAGGAAGGCCCCAGGCAGTGGGCAGAGCCCCCAAACCGCATCCCCACACAACGGTCACGATCCACAGCTGAGAGCAAAGTGGACGCACACAGCTCTGCTGCCCCTAAGTGGGCCTTGTGGGCCCCTGCCAGGCATGGCCCCCAGAAGGCTGGGCACAACAGACAGCTGTGCCAGGAGCTCTCGCAGATGGCTTTGGCCTATGGTGACAAAGGCTGGCCCACCCATTGAAGCTTCAGCCAGGTACCGGGGCCACGAAGGCACAGGCAGCCCAGGCTCGGCGACCCCCACCTGCGGGCGCTGAGGGGCTCCTCCGCCTCCACGGTGTTCTCCTCGGGCTGGAACCGGAAGTCCTCCACGTACTCCCCAAACCTCTCATAGAACCACTTCTGCAGGCGCGAGGACAGACCCTGGCTCCGGCGCTCTGCAGGGGGCAGCGGCCCAGTGAGGCACAGGGAACACTTGGGGGTGGGGCAGGGACATGAAGGGCCCTTATACAAGGGACTTTGAAGGCTCGGTCCTCTGAAGACACGAAGTACAAACCAATCAGCACAGAGCAGAGCTGCTCTGGCCATGAAGGCCTCACTGCGGGGTGGGGGGGTCTCTGTGCTTTTCACGCCCTGTCCCCAGCTCTCTGCCCACCCTGGGCTCTCGTCAGTGGGTAGCCTGTCCGTCCAGGCTGCAGCTGGACCCCTCAGCAGTCTGTATCAAATCCCCTTTCCACCTCCGGGCTGTCAGGAAGCGGCTGGAGGGGTCACTGCCCTGGCCCCGCATATCCTGAGCGTCAATGGACGGTGCGGTGGGAGGCTGTGTCCCGGGCTGGGGGTGCCTGGCAAGCACAGCCAACCCAGGGTGAGACACAGAGACGTCGTGCTGATGACCAGCACTGTCCACCAAAAGCCAAGACCTCTAGAAAGCGACTTCCATCACAGAAAACCAGAAGAATCCTTCGGAATGGGGGCTCAGGGAAGCAGGCGGGGCTCAGGGAAGCAGGCTGGTCCCTCCCTTCAGAAGGCCAAGGAGGAGCTGCCGGAAGCGGGTGCTGCCCTGCCACAGTTTGGGCCCTGGGACCAGAGAGCTGGTGGTCACCATACCTGGGGGGCTGCAGTCTCAGGGCAGTGGCTCAAGAGCCACAGGCCAAGGGGGCTGAGGTCTGTGTACCCTGAGGCCACCTGGGCAGGGAGGGTGGGGCCAGGGCAGGCTCCTGGGGCTTTTTCCGGCCCCCACAGCAGCCTGACAGTTTTTAAGCGGAGGGTACACGTGGGGTTGGAAAACTCATCCCAGCCATAAGCGAATCGGCCGGCTCTGTCCCACAGACTTTATTTACAGACTGAAATTTCAGGTTTATACAATGTTCTCTAGTCATGAAATGTAACCATTTAAACCTGTGAGGCCCGGGGGCAGGGCTGGAATTTGCCGACCCCCAGGTGCAGGGAAAGTGCCAGCTGCCTGCAGGGCGAGGGGCAAGATAAAGAACAGTCGCTCAGGGATGGAGGACGAGGAGAGGAAACAGGGCACACAGCCTCCCACTCCGCACCCGCAAGCCACCACGGCCCCACTGCCCACTTGGTCCCCTTCGGGAAGGCCGCCAGGGCAGCGGCAGTGACCAGCGTGGCTCTCACACTGCCATTCCACGGGGCAAGGCTGAAACAGCGAACGTGCATATTCCCCGAAGAATACACCGTCATGATTTGGTTGAGTGACTGGAAACTTGCAATGACGACTACGATGACTCACCACTCGCACAAGAGACACTAACCCAGTTCCGACGGGAGGAGACTCCCGGATGCCAGCGGGTGCCCGGGCACAGAACCAGCACCTGCCGCCCGCCCGCTGCTGAGGGTACCTGCTTCATTGTTAGCTTGGGCCTGCAGAACCAGCAGGTGACGCGCACCCGCCCGCCCGCCAGGGCGTACCTGCTCCATTGTTGGCCTGGGCCTGCCCTTTCGGGGGCTGCTGAGCCGTCTGCTCCTCGGTTCTTAGAAAGCAGGGGGAGAAGAGACAAGAGGTCTGTAAGTTCAAAGCTCCGTGCACGGTCAGGCTGCGCGAACCTCCAGGGCCCTGGTGACTGCACACCGCCCAGGAGCGCTCAGGGACAGCGGGGCTGTCTCCGGAGTCCCCACCGCTCAAACACGGGTTCCAAGCAGAGCCAGGCAAGCACAGAGTTGCCTTCCTAACAGGCACACATTTTGTTGCTAAACAACCACACAGTGGCTCTCAGCAGTCTTTTCATTCACTTTAACCCAGTTGCTCCTTTATCTTCAAGCTCAGAACACCCTCATGTCACCAACACGTCTGCTAATGAGAAGATACTGATCAACACACATGTATTTATTAGGCACCGCGCCAGGCCACAGGCTGGATGCTGCCTGCCAGCAGCCTGTGCCCAGTTCCTAGCTCAGCCTACTCCAAGACCTGCTGGGCTGGGCAGGCCACTAGATGGCCACCAGGGTCTGCTTCTGTCCCACACCCAGCCCCTCCAGCCAAGGCCCGTGAACAGGTGCAGCACAGAACCAGGCCAAGTGCTGTGTGGTTGCCCCCTGACCTTCCTAACTCAGGCTCTTGGTGGAGGGAGAGGGAGGGAGGAAGTTGGGGGAGGAGTGAACCCTGAGAAGAGAACAGAGGGCGGAGCACAGGGCAGGGCCAGGTAAGCAGACGTGGTTTTCAGGGGGCTTTGGATCCACAATGGAGAGAAGCTCTGCCGCTAACAAGTAGCCTTAAACCAAGGTGACAGAATTTTCTTAAAAACCAAAATAGAGGTTTGCATAAACAGAATTGCTGTGCTTTAATCCTGCAGCTTCAGAGCCTGTGGTGTGTGTGCATGTGTGCAGTATGTGCACACGTGTGTCTGCGTGTTTGTGTGTGCTCTCACACACCTACCCACCCTGGACAGACCACAGCCGCCCAGACCCACCCCAGATCTGCAGCAGGATGACAAGGAAAGAGGAGGTCACTCTGCCTGGGACTGCTCTTCCTTCACCCCTTCTCCACCAGGCTCCCAGAAGGTTCCTAAGTGCCGCCCCCATGTAAAGCAGGGGAGGGCCCTTCATGCTTCCAGGAGCTTCAGCTTCCACTTCCTGGGTCATAGCCTGCATGTTCCACTTCCTGGGTCACAGCCTGCATGTTCCTTTACTGTCCCCTCCCCACCTATTGCCAAGGCCAAGACTGGGCGAGACAGGGCTCCCTGCATCCTCATAGCTGACCCAGGCTGGGCACAGCTGCCACCAAGGGGCTTTGGTAAAAGATGAGGACCAGACCCTGGAGTGGGGCTGGTGGGGCAAAAGGACGGGAATCAGAACACAGGGAGCAGGGCCGAGGGGACAGCCTCAGGCCACCTTAGCCAGTGGGGGAGAAGCAGCGTCCCATGGGGGGATGGCACTGAGGTCATATGCCTGGGGACCACACCTGTCCCTGGGTCAGGTCTCTGTTGCACCTCTACATAATTAAATGTCATTTGAGCTTTGAGCTTCTGTGGATTTTCACAGAAGGTTCAGCATCAGGTACAGCACCTGCCGGGGCCCATGCACCCACTTCTGGTCTGGGAGGTTCTGCCAGGGCGGAATAGGAAAGTGAGGCCACTCCCTCCCCCACACGAGCTGGATCCCCCCACATGACCTCCTCCAGGGCACTCTGCAAGGTCATGCTGACCTGCAGGAGGCAGGCAGGGGAGAAGTGGGAGCAAGCCCATCGGATGCCCCGCCTTCCCACACACTAAACCTGAGGGTGTTGAAGGAAGCCGCCTCCTCAGGGCCAGCTAAGCTGCGACACTTGGAGTCCTAACGATGGTACTTGGCCCCTGGAGCCCTCGGAGTGGGCAGTCAGTGCTCAGCCAGGGTGAAGGTCATGGGGGCCACGGACAAAGGTGTGGTCAGTGGTGGTGGGAGGCCGAGGTGGGAGACACAGGGGGAGTCTGAGTGGGAAGGTAAGGGTAGGTTGAGTGCAGGCTAGGGGGAGGCTGAGAGTGGAGGCTGGGTAGAACCTGAGAGGGGAGGCTGAAGAACTAGATGTTGGTGGGGAGGCTGGGTGGAAACTGAGGGGGGAGGCTGAGAGCACGGAGGCTGAGGTGGAGGCCGAGGCAGGAGGCTGCTGGAGTGGAGGCTGAGTGGAAGGCCTGGGAGCCAGAGGTGAGTGGCCTGAGCTCCCTGACCTTATCCACCAGGCACCAGTTTAAACTTGTGCTGAAAGACACGGAGCCCCGTGGTGTTAGCGCTACAGGAGCGCACTGGCTTTGTAACCTGCGCTGGGGCCCTGGGTGCCCTGCTTCCTGCTGGCAGCACCGTGAGGCACAGGGCAGGGTGAGGAAGGAGGCCAGGAGTACTTGGGGGCCCCGCATGGGACCCACCACCAAGGGCACAGACGTCAGCTGTGAACGGGCCCTCTGGGAGCAGGGGCGGCACTGGCACTCCAGGACATGGAGTGGGGAGCTAGGATGGGGGAGCGGGGGCCACAGGGCACCCTGAGGGGCTGTAGTGTGGCTGGGGCAGACAGGGAGCATGGGAGCACACACAGGCAGTGCTGGGAGGGCAGGTCCTGGGAAGATCCTAAGAGGCTGGGCCGGCCCCCAGGGTGGGGTGCTAGGGCAGGATGCACAGAATGGGTCACCTGCAGGCCAGGAGGTGTCTCGGGGGCTCTGCAGGCCCCATGCCACGCCTCTCTTCAGTCGGCCTGGCCCCAGGCCTGGGGCTGGCAGGAGCACCTGCCCCAGGGTCCCCCTTTTCCAGACCACTGGAGCACAGGCAGGACCTATCCCTGGGCAGTCAGAGCCGGGCCCACCCTCACCCCCAGGCCTCTCCAGGGCTAAGGGTGACACTGCCGGGATGCTCTGGGTACAGCAGAGGCTGGAGGGGAGGTGGGGGCTGAGGAGGGCGCGGTACCTGGCCTTCAGCACCTCCTGCACCTTCTGCTCCAGCTCCATCCGCCGCTGCCGCTCCCGGTCCAGCTCCTGCCGCAGCATCTCTGCGTTGGTTTCTTCTCGAAGCTTCCGGAGCTCCTCCTCTGTGGGGAAGAGAATGGCCAGGTGACCATCGTTCATGTCCACGCAGGCCCTCTGACTCTGGGGTGCCTGACTCAGAAACAGCAGTGGGGTCTCTGCTCTGTGAGCGGACCTGAGCACCTGATCTTCCTCCAGGGTGCGGGGCGCTCACATGGCAGGGCGTGCACTGGTCCGCACCCAGCCCTTCCTCCTGGGCAGGAACTATTAACGGGGTTCCTCTTACATGACTGAGGCAAGAGCTGGGTGAAGCAAGGGTGTGAATCTCCTCACTGTCCTTCATAACGTTGAACACAGAACACAAAAGCCATTTCACCAAGTGCCGCCATGCCAAGGACACCTGTGGAGAGGTTGCTGACCGCACCCGGCCAGCCCACCACACCCACCCGGCACCTCCATGAGCTGGGCGAGGTTCTGGGACACATCAGCGGCACAGATGTGTGTCCTGGGCCAGCGGGGACAGCCCACAGCTCGAGCTGGCCAAGGAGCCTGAGAAGAGCACAGGGCGGGCCGGACACAGGGCTGCTGCAGGTAAGCCTCAGAAAAGGTGAGGTCTAAGTCAGACCTGGAGGGAATACAGCACGTTCCCGGAGACCCAGGGAAAGAGCATCCAGGCAGAGGGAGGAAGCAGGGTCAGAGGCCAGAGGTCGGAGAGACTGGAAGACTGAAGACGGAAGGGGCCAGGAGCCAGGGAGTGCAGGCAGCCTCTGGAAGTCAAGACACTTCCGCCACTTGAAGAGACAGGAGAGACAGGGGACTCTGCCTCTCTTCCGCTTCCTCTGTCCCATCCCTGCCTCCTCCTAAAACCAAGGGTGCTGGCTCACCGGAGGGCAAGTCTGAGGCCCTTGCTCCTCCCCCACTGTCCTGACCCCAGTAGCTTCCTTTCCTGTCCTGGACACCTCACCACATAACTTGGGGCCACAGGGCCAGGCCTAAGACTCCAAAATTGAGGCCAAGGGCAGTATGACAGCCTCAGACCCTGGTCCCTGCCAATATCCAGGAGCAGCCATGCAGAAACAGCAGGGGGCCGTGCCTAGGTCTGGAGCAGCCTGCGGTGGCCTGGGGTCACTGAACCCAGAAGCCAAATGTCAGTCAACCTTCCTGCCTGACAGCCACAGGCTCACAGTACCCAAGAGGGAAGAGACAGGTGCCCATATCTCACCAGCCCCACCCCCACTGGGGGTGCTGGTGGCTCACTGGATGCAGTTACTGACCAGTGAGAAAAGACTTGGATTTGCCAAGGGCCAGGATGCATTTGCTCAGTGTGGGTGTCTGGAGCTCTGCCTCACTCCCCCGCCTGCTGGCACTGGCCCTTCTCCAAATATGGTTTCCACGTCCTTCAGCATCCTGGACTCCAGAACCCCCAGGGCAGCTAAGCCCACCTGGAGAAGACCCTCCCTGTGGGGCCTGGGGGGCACTGGGCCTGTCCTCATGATCTGCCTGGTCTCGTCAGGCTGCTTCTCTCCAGAGCCGCCCTCCCCTCAGTCCTGAGAAGAAGCGTCAGGCCCTGGCACGGCTACATTTCTCCAGGGACCCAGGTCCCCAACCCGCCGATGTGGCCAGGTTCCACCACTGTGTGGGCCCGGGCTGGCCTCAGCCTGGCCCTGGAGCCCTTGGTGGGTAGGTCCATGCCCCAAGACAGGAAGACCCTGGGGACCCTTCCTCCAACAGGGGTCACTGCCCACCAGCACCCAGGAGAGCCTGGGCATCTTGGCCCATCTGAGACGGATGCCGCCCTCCCACCCCCACCCAGCCACCGCCCCGGGACCCAGTTCTCAGCCTGCTGCCCCTCCCTCGGTGTGCCTGGCAAACAGAAGTGGCTGAATCGAGGGTCGCTGGATAAACAAAGGAGGGAACCAGGCGCCCTGTCCGCAGTGTTTCTCCCCAGAGGGGAGCGTCCACCTGGCTCAGCTCCGAATTCAGAGCCAGCTGGGGAGGGTTCAGAGACAGCCATGGGGTGGCTCCTTCTCATGCCTCTGTCTTCATGTTGTGGCAGTGACTTTATCTCGTGGGAACACAGAGGTAAGATGCGTCACACTGGGCAGCGTCGCTCCCGGCCGGGCTCTTGGGTGGAGCAGGCCAAGGCCGGAGGGCTCTGGTACTTTCCCGGGCTCACTCTTGGCACCCACACACCACCTCCTCTGGTCTTGGCCTTTGCCCACGTGCCTCTCCATCCATAGGTCAGAGAGGCACTCAGGGCCCTCCCTGCATGGGTAACAGGAAACCACATTTTCCTAAATGGGGCTGCCCCCACACCCCTTCCTGGAGTCACTAAACCGTGACAGGGCGGCAGTCTCAGGCCAGGTTCCACGACGTGGCAGAGCAGTGGCCAAAGCCTGGCCCAAGGGGGCCAGTCCCAGCCCAGGGATGGATGCCGTGGAGGAGGACACGGAGCCCTCCTGGAGCCCAGCATGTCGTGGTGTGCCTGCCGTGTCACAAGCCTGGGTTCAGAGGTCACGGGGCCTCAGGCAGCCACCCCTCTTTCCACCCTGGACCTCCTGGGGTTGGGCTCTCTGCAGAGCCCAGACAAATGTGAACACCAGAGCCCTGCCATCCTCGCTGCTCAGAGCCTGATGACACCTGGCTCCCCAGTCGGCCGGCGGCACAGTCCCTTCAGCCTTGCGGACGGGGCTCCTCGGACAGTGGGGCGAGTCAGCCCATCCCAGCTTCCAGCAGAGCCAAGAGGCTTCCCACCTGTGCCCAGTGTCACTCCTGCCAGTACGAGGACACTAAGTAAACAAAACTGGCTGCAGTGGTGGAGCATTGATCTCTCGTGAGCTCTTCCCATCTCTGAGCAAATGGCTCCCTGTGAGGCCAAGCTGCTGTCTCTCCCGAGATGGGAATGATGGCCGCACGCCCCACGACGCCACCTCCCAGGACTGCCTCCCGCCCAGTGGTGACACATTCAGGTCAACTGCAGTGTGCCGAGCACAGCTGTATCTTTCCACAGGACAAAGGCGGCGCAAATCCCCCATCATCAATTTTTCTTTCTCTTCCCCGAGTAAGAAAAGAAACAGGAGGGCCGATTTCCTGCCCAGAGGAAAGCGCTGAGCTGGGCGTTCACGCATCTATGCCCCGAAAATCTGCGGCAGCTGCCAAGGTTCTGGGTCCCTTGGCCTCCGGCATGGGCCTCATCGTGCCCTGAGTAGCCACAGACACTGAGGACCCCGGGCCACCCGCGTCCACAGGCCTCCCTTGCCCCGCAGATCAGGGCCTGAGATGTCCTGCAGGGTGGGGTGGGGGCGAGGCCACATCCAGGACAGGCCACGGAGCCCCTTGGTGACCTCTGCACTTGTTTCCCGTGGCTGTTGTGAAAAATCACATAGCAGCTTAAAACAACACAAACACGTTCTCTTACAGTTCTGGTGGCAGAAGTCCAACCTGGGTCTCCCTAGGTCTCCAGCTCCCCAAAGACCCATTTCCCGCCTTTCCAGCTCCCCAAGTCCCCTGCACTCCTTGGCTCATGGCTCCTAGGGAGCAATGACATCACTGTGACCTCTGACCCCACCCTCACATGGCCACCTCTGACCTTCCTGCCACCTCCTTCTCGGGACCCTTTTGACTGTGTGACCCCAGATAATCCAGGACCATGTCCACCTCAGCGCTGTGACTCATCCTCAATTACAAGGTCCTTTCTGCCACAGGAGGCCACATGTGCAGGCTTGGGGGACACGGACGCTCTGTGGGGCCATGATTGTGCCAACAACGGTCTCCTTCGAGACAATCGAGTCGGGTGAAGGAGCCCCAGTGCCCAGGCAGGCTGGGAGCCCCTCTTCCTTCCACCTGGCATGGACTTTCCTGCCCCTAGCTGTCCCTGGGTCACACCACCACCGGAAGCCCTCCAGGAGTGAAGGGTCCCCAGTGGCCCCGAGCTCTGTCTTTTTCCCCCCCACCTCCTTGAGGCAGGAATGACACTGGGCACAGGTGGGAAGCCTCTTGGCTCTGCTGGAAGCTGGGACAGGCTAACTCGCCACGCTCTCCAAGGAGAGCAAGGCCGAGGGGACTGTGCCTCCTCCAGGAGGCGGAGAGGAGAGAGACACCTCCAGCTGTGCCCCCAAAGGCACCTGAAGCAGGATTCCCAAGTGCCACCACCGTGGCAGCCCCATCAGAAAAGTGCACAGTGAGTCTCTCTAAAGCCCCACAGAGAACAACACTGACAGAGGGGATGTTCCAGAGTCATCCATGCACCCCAGGAACGCGTGACCAAACACAGCACATCTTTTTTTTTTTTTTTTTTTGAGACGGAGTTTCGCTCTTGTTGCCCAGGCTGGAGTGCAATGGCGCGATCTCGGCTCACCGCAACCTCCGCCTCCTGGGTTCAGGCAATTCTCCTGCCTCAGCCTCCTGAGTAGCTGGGATTACAGGCACACACCACCATGCCCAGCTAATTTTTTGTATTTTTAGTAGAGACGGGGTTTCACCATGTTGACCAGGATGGTCTCGATCTCTTGACCTCGTGATCCACCCACCTCGGCCTCCCAAAGTGCTGGGATTACAGGCTTGAGCCACCGCGCCCGGCAACACAGCACATCTTAACAGCAGCACGGGGCGCCTGCTCTCCCGAGAGCCCCTACACCTGTCTCTGGCACAGACAAGTGCAAGACGTGTGTGAGCACAGAGTCCAGGCGGCAGCCACATGCACTGCAAGGGGATGGGAGGCTTCTCTGGGTGTGCGTGATACCATACCTGCCGGGGGCCAAGTCACAAGTGGAGACCCAAGGGTAGGAGCCATGGCCCAGGGCATCAGGCTACAAAGTCATGGCCCTACAGGGGCAGAGGAGCCACCACATCAGAGGCTACCGCTTGTGTGGATCCCGTGGCACTGTGTCCAGCCCAGCAAGCTGTGCCTCTTCCAGGGCCGAGTGACTGCTGTGACAGGCTGAGCACACAGCAGACCTCGTCACAGCAGCCACAGGATGGGAGGGAAGCCGGCAGGAGGCCAGAGGCCCAAAATGCCTGCCCAAGGAGTGAGTCGGACCCCTAGAACCCACGTTCCAAGGGAGCA